TGTGGAAAAGTAACTTGTATTGTCAAAGTTCATAGAATTCACAAACTGTCTAGACTATGATAATGACAATTTGCCTTGTGAAAGTTAAAATGTGTTTGTGACCCTAACTATCACTATTCCACAATACTGTGAAATATGTGAAAGTTATGTAATCACCTAACCTCAATTAAAGAAAAAAAGTGAGCCAAGGGATGGGTTAAGAGGAGAGATGGTGACAATATTGTCAGACACGTTGTACTCACTCATATACTGTTTTGTAGATGGGAACTTCTTTGTACAACTTCTTAAAGATAATAAAAAATAAATTAAAAAAGGACAAACACTGAAGATGAAACTGAAGGAATGATCTCTGAAGGCAAGGAAAAGGGTAGCAGCGCCAGACTTAGATACCAGATACCTGAGGAGAAATTGGGGTCATAAGAACTTAAAAAGAGCTAAACTTGATCCAAAAAAACCTTCCTCAGAATGCATAGCCAAATACTATGGCCAATTTGTGTCTCCATCCAATGTGAATCAGAGCCTGATCTCCTGGGCCAGCTCATCCATCCATCCATCCATCAATTCATTCATTCATTCATTCATTCATTCCTGTGATGATCACCCAGTGAGCATAGTCCATGTACAAAGTGCTATGTGGGCAAAGAAGGCATCTGGGTGAACCAGCAGACACAGCCTAGCACCCCCCAAGATGTTGACACAATGGTAGGTGCGGGCTTCTCTAGCTAATTCTTACAGTGCCCCAGGGCCACCAAGAGTGCCAAGGCAAGTCATTTGCACCTGTTCTCCCTGCCTCCACCTCCTTCTAAACCAATGGTCATTTCACTGTGTGAAGCCCAGTCGAAGGGAATCCTTTGGTTTAACCTTGTAAGGCACCCTCCATCTGTCCCGTCACATGGCTTGGCCTGTGGTGCTTTTCCTACCTCTGGATGACAGAAAGCAGATCGTCACACAGCAGCATCTACTATGATTTTCTTCTTTACATTCCATAGGTTGACATTTATTAGAAATAACTTAAGAATTACAGTGCTTAATAGACAGTCTTACCTACCATAGTCTCTGCTTCTATTTGCCTGGCTAGCTAATTGATTTATCATCAAGTGGATGATAGGTTTTTAATCCCATCCAGGGTGAAGGGCGGGACAGTTATTTACGAGTGTCCACACCAGTGCACTGAGCCCCATGGGCTGAATTGATTATGACTTTTACTTTATCTTTACTTTTCCTTGTGCAACTCGCAGTCTGTTTTTTGTTTTGTGGTTTGTTTGGTTTTTTGTTTCTTGTTTTGTTTTGGTTTTTTTTTTGGTCCTGGCTTTTAAATTTTTTTATAGGGGATCTAAATTATAGAATCCATCTCTCAGCACTTCTCTTCCTCAGATGGCAGTTCCTTAAAAAGCCTTTGTTCAACCTTTATTGTATTTCAGCCTGACATGGGTTTTGTTGTTGTTGTTGTTGTGTGTGTGTGTGTGTGTGTCTGGTGGGAGGTCCTCCTAGGGCTTGAAAACAGAGCCTGTGCACTATCTTTGAGCTTTTTTGCTCAAGACTCCTGCTCTACTGCTTGAGCCACATAGCTCCACTTTCTGGCTTTTTGGTGATTAATTGGAGATGAGAGTCTTGTGGACTTTTTTGCTTGGGTTGACTTCAAACGGCCATCCTCAGATCTCACCCTCCTGAGTAGCTAGGATTATATATGTGAACCACTGGCACCTCATTTGTTGTTTGTTTTTTAAAATCATTTTGAGAAATATCTTTATTTAGCCAACTGAATTTGTTCCAGAGCTTAATTAGAAATAGCACATTACAACTAGGTGGGAACTATCTGGAGGCAAAACAATTACCCTCTGATAATAACATAAACTTGTCATTATTGTAGAGGGCTGCAGACAGTATCTTCTAGAAGCCCAGTGTTCTTGAGCTTCCTGCAAGCCCCCTTGCAAGGACTGGAAATGTCCTCTGCCAGTGCTGAGCATGGTGTCAGACCCCCCCCCCCAGTTCTTGCAGTTATGTCCCCAGGAACTGTGCACAGAGTTGCCGGCTTTGATGGACAAGGAGGCAACGCTGTCCTCTTTGGCTCCGGTCCTGAACTTCTGAGGTTTGAACCAAAGCCCACACACGGAGGGCTGGCTGGAGGGCTGGGCTCTTACAGGGCAGGCCCTGAGTTTTGTGCTATTTGTCCTCAGTCCTGTATTTCTTTGTAAAGATGTTTCAAAAGGGTTTTGGGTCCCAGGCCCAGACTGTTGGAGTCTTGCCCTAGCACAACCAATAAAGAAGAAGCAATAGTGAAGGGAGAGGAAGGAGTAGAGGAGGGAGAGGAAGGAGTAGAGGAGGGAGAGGAAGGAGTAGTAGAGGGAAAGGAAGTAATAGTGGAGGCAGAGGAAGCAGTAGTAGGGGGAGAAGGAGGAGGGTCATTACATGGCACCGGGACCTCCGAGGAGGGAAGGTGGAGTTTCAACCCATGCTTTGGGTTTAAGCAGGAGGAAGAATTGGGGGTGAGGGAGAAGTGTAACTCATCACCTGTGGACTTGGCGCCTACCGCCGGCCTGGCAGCTCGTGGTCTCACAACTGGACAGGTGTGGTCTTTTTTTTTTTTTTTTTAATTGTGAACATGCTGTACAGAGGGGTTACAATTACATGGGCACATTTCTTATCAAGCATTGTAGCCTCCTCCTTTGTTTACGCTTCACATCCCTTCCCTGCCCCCCCCCCCCCAATCCCCCCCCCCCCCCCACCAAAGTTGTAAAGTTTGTTTTCGACATGACAACTTGTACTTCTCATTGTTGCAGCGGGTCCACCTGTATCCTTATTTAAACGACTTGTTTTTCCCCATCTCCTCCACATTTATACTGACATCAAATATAGTGAAAGCAGGGGTTATACTGTGGGGGAGGGACATACAAAGCAACAAAGAAATAATCTTATAAATGCATTAGAAACAAATGCATGAAAGAAAAAAAACATTTAAATACATATCTAAGGGTTTATTTTCCTAACATCACCTTATCTGACTGTTTCTGCTTGACTCATACATATACTAGATATTGCAAATAAGGGAAACCATGGGGCCTATGTTTCTTTGGGCCTGGCTTACTTCACTTAATATAATTTTTTCCAAGTCTTTCCATTTCCTAACAAATGGGGCAATGGCATTTTTTCTGATGGAGGCATAGAATTCCATTGTGGGTTGGTTCCATATCTTAGCTATGGTAAATAATGCTGCAATAAACATAGTTGTGCTGGTAGCTTTAGTGTGGTCTTGTTTGTAAACATTAGGGTAAATGCCCAAAAGTGGGATTGCTGGGTCATAGGGGAGCTCTATGAGGAGTCTTTTGAGGAACCTCCAATTTTTTTTTTTTTTTTTTTACAGTGAGCACTGCTGTGGAGCAGGAAGTTTCTGTCTCCTGTCTGGATTTCCAGGTGTCTATAAAATGACGCCAGGAGAGGATGGCTCAGAGCTAAGAACACAAATAAAAATGGAGTCTGGGATGCCAGGCTTTTATCCTGCCTTCAGTGAATTCTTGGGCAGTCAGTGGTGCTGAGCAAAAGCAGCTTTGAAGTACCTGTTACAAAGATGCCCACAGCTTAAAAAACAATCATACCCATTTACCAAATTCAGCTGTAAGGGCATTTTCTTTTCAAATATACCTGGGCATCTCATTTGCAAACTTTGACGTATGTCAGCCAGACCTGGCCAGCCTGGCCCTTGTGACTGGACAAGGCAGAGGTTCTCATAGCTTTCCACAAACAGTTACTTAAAAACACATTTTCTTCCAGGCTCGCATTGTGTTGATGTCCCCGGAGAGAGATGCAGGGAAGTCTGCCTGCAGTTTTTTTTGTTTTGTCTTCAGTGGTAGAGACGGCAAACTGCAGAGTGGGCCATGCAGCAAGCTGTGCGGGTCCTGTGGGTGAGGCAGACACAGCTCCCGGGCTGCTCCTCCAGCCCTGCCTGGCTGGAGAGGGGGTGTAGTGAGAAAGCCCCAGTTACCAGGAAGTAACCTAGATTTTCCTCTCACTCCAGCTGCTCCCTGCTGCTAAACAGAGGGAGGGTGATTAAGTTTATTATCTGTGACCCGCTGCTAATTCCTCTCACATTCTTCCTTGTGCCAGACTTGGGGACCACTTTCAAGGAAAAAAACTGGGCTCTGCTTTTTTTTTCTTTTGTCAACACTTTGAAGGGTTATTAAAAGGAAAACAAAACAAAACAAAAAAAACAAACCCATACTGAATGAACAAGCACCGGAAAGCCGAAACTCCAGAGTCACCACAGCCCAAATGAGGTTCATGATAAATGGCTTTTCTATGATTGCCTTGTATATTTTATCATCAAAAAGTAAAAGTCGATGTATTGAGAATGATGCTTAACATCGTATGGGATCCATGAATCACAGAATTAAAATCCCTGTGGAAAAGTCTCACCAAATCACTTTTCCTATTGACTAAAGCTCTTTAATTTTCCCTTAACAATAGAACAGTGATGGAAATTAGTACTGTTAGCACAATGTAAGACAAACCATGCAATGCCAGCCATATTCTCTGGGGTGGGCCTGATACACCCACCATTCCCAGCCTGATAGTTTGTGTGCTAGAAGCCCATTCCAGTTCAGAGCCTTAAGAAGCCATCTAAGCAAACATAATTTAATGATGTTACATTAAGACATTGCAACTTTAGGAAAGGATTTTATTTGTACCTTTCTGTTCTTCCTTCCTTTAAAATTGGAATTTCTTAAGTGATAACTTTCCAAATGTGATTTTCAGAAGCTGTTATTTTGGTCTGTCCTCTTTGTTCTGTGATTGCTAATTTTCTTGATTAATTTGGAGAACATCTGCATATAATTCTGTGGGTTTTCTTTGTTTTTTGTTTTTTTTTGGCAAATTCTTCCAACTTTGAACAGGACTTGGAGACTTCACTCTCCAAACAGTCTGGGGTTGCATCTAATTGAAATGCCAACCCCACAAAGGTGCGGATTCTAAGTGTGTAATTATGTAATTTTCTCTTGATCTTTCAGAGTCTTCCTGAGAGCGATTAATCAGTATGCAGATATGCTGAACAAGAAATTTCTGGATCAAGCCAACTTTGAGCTACAGGTAAGAGAGGCAGACCTGAGCCTTGTAGTGGAGTGGTGTTAATATAAATGACTGGTGCATGCCGGTCATTTGTAGTTCTAATCCTGGAGCTGCATTGGTCTCTCATCTGATGTGTGGAAACAGAATTCACCGTGTGTGCTGTTGGACCTTAGGAGTGACAGTTATGCCTCCAGGGTGTTTGCTCAATTTAACAACTTAGGAGATGGAGTTGTTCCAGAGAATTGACTGAGTGGGAGAGAAGAGGGGTTCTGCAAGCAGGTAGCCAGGAGGCCCCAGTGTCAGTGTGTGGCTACAGGACTGTCTCCACTGTCCTGAATTGCAGCACCAGGGTCAGCAGGAGGAAGAGCGGGTCTGCCCCACTCATCTTGCTCCTAGAACTGTGTCCCCAGCACTCTTTCTTGGCTTCGTGTCACTCGACACCTTAACCCAGGGTAGTCATTTGCCAGTCCCTCAGGAAGGGCTCATCAGTGCATGCTCTGTGTGTGTGTGTGTGTGTGTGTGTGTGTGTGTGTGTGTGTGTGTGTGTGCATGAAACACCTTTGGGTACATACTGTACGTGCCTTTATGTGTGTGTGAAATTGCTTCTCTGTGTGTTGTGTGTATATATCCCTGTGTGTGTGGTGTGTGCATGTGTGTGGCATGTATCATATCTCTTGAGGGTATGCTTTGTGTGCATGCATGTGCATGTGTGTGAAAAGCCTCTAGAATGTATGATTTTGTGTGTATGTGCATGCATGTGTGTATGTACATGTGAAGAGCCTCTTGTGTGTATGCTTGTGTGTATATGTGTGTGTTTGAAAATCCCATACTCAAAAACTTAATAAAATACGTATTTTATTTTTATTTGTTATTTATTTATTTATCTTGGTGCTGGTCCTAGGGCTTGAACTCAGGACTGGACACTGTCCCTTAGCTTTTTAGCTCAAGGCTAGCACTCTACCACTTGAACCACAGTTCCACTTTCAGCTTTTTGGTGGTTAATTGGAGATAAGAGTCTCCCAGATTTTTGTACCTGGGCTGGCTTTGAACTGCGATCCTCAGCCTCAGCTTCCTAAATGGCTAGGATTACAGGTGTGAGCCACTAGAACCCTGTTTGTTGTTGTTCTGACATTTCTGAATATGTGTCAAGCAGATGACAATTGTCCCGGGGCCTTTCTGGGGTCCTGTGTGAAGCTGTGCAACCACTCAGCCTCTCCTCACTCTGGTTTGCAGCTCTGGAACAACTACTTTCACCTGGCAGTTGCCTTCCTCACTCAGGACTCCCTGCAACTGGAAAATTTTTCGAGTGCCAAGAGAGGCAAAATCCTGAACAAGTAAGTCGCTTGTCCAGCCCCGACACTGGGCAGGAGCCTGCAGCACTATTAGCATAATTTTCCTGTCATCTCTAAGCCAACTGGGTACAAATTGAGATGTAATCACAGTGTAATGAAAGGGTGGTTTTAAATCATGAATCCAATATTGCCTTTTCTAACCCATGAATCAGGATCTAAAATTGCAGGATGCGTCCTGGTAGGCTCAACGTCAGGGCCCTTAGAGATGGTTAGAGCAACACAGAATTTGAATTTCTGGAGATAATGACTTTTGCTGGGCCTGTTGTGATGTCATTACACATGTGGATTACTTTATTGCTTAATTCCCCAGTCCTTCCTAGAAAAAGGGAGGATTCTGATGGAAAGCAGTGGCATTGCCGGTTTTGTCCGCACCTCACAGGGGCTCCCTCCTGGCACCAGATGACCTGTCTTCCTCTTGGTAGATTTGGGTGGACTTGTATCAGCTTAAGTTCTGTGAAAGGAAGGTTCTTGGGGTACCTTCATCCCTGTCACCCCCGTCTGCACCTTACACTACAGCATCAAGAAAGAAAATCACTGCCTGAGTTTCCTTCCGTGAGCTCTTGCCTCTTCCTTCTGACTCATTTGCACTCATTTCCCATTGCTCTGGGCATGCTTTTCATCAAAACCCCTGAGAAGATTCTGGAATGGCTCCCCTATTGCCAGATCATTGTGTTCATAATACCTCTGCAATACGCTGACTGCCTAGGCTTTGCCAAGTCAGAGCTTCTTACGGAAGTCTCCAAAGGTGCCGGCCACTCTGCCTTCCTCCGGCTCCTTCAGTGTTCTCTGTTTTGCGGGATAAACATAAAGCAGATTACCCTAGAGAGCAAGATGTGTTTCAGTAAATAATTTAGTATGACCAAGCCTGGTGCTCATTTTCATATACAATCATTGAAAAGCTAAAGCGTTCATTGAGTCCGCTCATCGCCCATATTTTCCAGATAAAATGAGGTGAGGACAGAGTCACTGGCTGCCCTGGCTAGAAGGTCCGGAGAGCACCAGTGCAGGCAGCTCAGATCCCAGCGTTGTAACACCTGCTGCGTTGGTGACCTTGAAGCCTTTGGTCTGTGCCCTTCTACGTAAGGCCAGCCTGGCCCTGGCCAGTTCTCCTTCAGGCCCCCTGATAACTAGTGTCTGAAAGCCCTGGTCTAAGACAGTGTACAGTGTTCAGAAGGGCAGATACCATCTGAACATGGTGTGGACAGTAGTGCCTCGCCATGGTACCAGCAATACCATGTCCTTGGCACCTGCACAGGCCCGAATTCCTAGCCTTGGCCTCACTTTCCCAGGCGAGACCCTCTGGAGCCCGACTCGCCACAGCAGCACCTGCAGGGCGACATATGCCCGGCCCTAGGTGGTGAGGGACGGCGCTCGCTGTTTCCTGCTGTTCTTCCAGTGCTCCACGCTGGAGGCCGTAACCACCAGCACCGCCTTGGCACTGCGGGCCCTGTGGGCACAGCCCCCTCAGGGCCACAGCTCCTCGGAGCCCAGGCCCCTGTTGCCCATCTCCCAGGAGGAGCTGGCTGGCGGGAGCACCCCTGTCCCCGCTGGCTGTGCCCACTGAGCGACGACGCTCCAGCCGGCTGCGGGACCCACGGCTCCTGTGCCCCTGTGCTTCCCCCCCTAGGCTTGCCCACAGGAGAAGAGAGCTGCGGTGGAACCGGAGGCTCGAAGGCTGGGGTGGGCACGTGCCAGGCAGGGTCCTCGCTCTGCCCTGGGAGGGTCCTCGTGCTGGTGTGCAACAGTCCAAGCCAAGGCAAGGCCCAGAAGCGCCTTAGCCACGCCAGGCCTTGGCCACCAGAGAAAATGGCTGCTCCCCACAGAGCAAGGTAGAGTCAGAGGCTTTAAAGCCAAAGAAAGTCAGACGTGGCAGCCGGTGTCTCTGTGCAAAGCCAGCGGGGCTCCTGGATCGGGCCTGGGATCTTTCACAACCACCAATCCAGTCTTCCATGGATTTCCGAGCAGTTCACAAGGAGTCCTTGCAGGATGGTTTCGGGGCCCCTGGGAGCCTGGGGGCACTTGCAGGGGTCATGGGCTCTGGGTCTGTGTGGACCGGCCATCAAGCGGCCCCGGCCTTCCTCTGTCTGAGACAAGCCCGATGTGGGCGGTGCGGCTGCGTGCAGACCATCAGCACTTGCTGCGCTCTTCCCGCCTCGATAAACCTGACACACTTCGCAGGCCATTCAGAGCTCTTACTTCTAAATAACAAAGCCTGAGTAAGAAATGTTTGCAGGCATCCTGCTCAGCAGTTTGTTTTCTCGGCATGTGTGTACGGTGGACATGCACAGTGGTTTGTGTAAAGTTATCTGTGCTCAGGGTTCTTGGGGCTCAGGAGAGAAAGGAAAAGCGGTTCCCACAGTGAAGACATTCGCCAGCTATTGGAGGAGGCAGAGAAGCCAAATTGTAAAATTCACAAGCACAGGAGGACAGAATGGGGTAGTGACTAGATCTAATGGCTGGGACCCTGGCCCTCAGGGCACAGCCTGGGGAACCCAGCGGCCTCCTGGCATCGTGGGCTTCATGCTGAGAGGAAAAAAGCTGAGAGCTCTGCCCGTTTGACTACCTGGAGCCAAGCGTCGGCTAACAGCCAGCCCCGAGGGGACAGGGAGCCGCCAGGGACAGGGCCTGACCTATGTCTGTGGGAGACATAAGGAATTAGTGGAGCCTGGGGCCCTGGCACATGGTGTAGAGGGGCAGTGATGTGGGTGGACCTGTGGGCCTGAGCCGGAGGCTGGGGGTCCCTTGGAGCACAGTAAAACATGTTGCACTCGCTCACCGGTCTGTGTCCCAGCCCCCAGGCTGTCCCCCGTGGGCCCGTCTGCTTCTCTAGGTCTTAGCGGATGACCCCTGCCTCTCTCTGCCCACCTTTGTCTGTGCCCTACCACACCCGGTAGGCCCACACTTCTGTGTGGTGCAAAACAGTAGAATGTTCTAGTATCAGAAGACCTGTCTCTTTGTTCCCCCTTGTTTAGTGCTCAGTCCTCCAGTGACGCAGATAGGGATGAGCGGGAGATCCAGTCCCCAGTGTATAAAAGAACGGCCCATACCACACAGAGAACTGACCATGCCAGCCCCGAACCGGTAACAAGATGTGCCCGTGAACCCAGAATAAATGACCCCTGGGTCGCAAAGCCCATAACAAGAAAATGCAGTGAGTGCCGCACTCAGCCGGGAGCACTCCAAGAAGGACAAGGACGCAGCACCCGGCCGTAACCCCCCTCCACCCCAGTGCCTGCCACCGAGGTTCCGGAAACATGAGTGCATGTACCAGAGTTGCTTTTTGATTGGCTGCCAGCTTGACTTTAATATGCAGACCACTGAGCACCTTCCTGTGGGAGAGGGTGTCACGTGACTGCACCAGCCATTTAGTGAGCCAGGATATTAACCCAATGGACCATAGTATTCGTTTCCTATTTAGGTCCATCTGCCCTAGCAGTGAACACAACCCAGATGGCTTGAGGCCACAGAATTTTTTTTTTTTTTGTCACAATTGTAGAGGCCAAAGCTTTGAACCAAGACGCCAGCCGGATAGGTCTTCTGATGGCTCTGATGGAGAATCCGGTCCAGGCCTCTCCTCTGGTGTCTTCTGGCTGTCTCCAGTCCTTGCAGTTCTTGGCTTGTGGTTACTTAACTACAAATTCTGTCCGTCTTCAGATATGACTTTCCTTCACGGCTTCCTTTGTGTCTTTGTCACTAAATATCCCCTTCCTTCTAAAGACACCAGGCATTGGGTTAGTGTGACTTATGTCAACTAGATCCCATTTCCAAGGAAATCAAGTATACTAGATATAAAAATATATTGTATCAGGTTATCAGATTAATGTCCGTCTGTCCATTCACGCAAATAAGCTCCTGAGGTCTCTAAATCTTGTCAGAATTGCTCATTAAACATTTACCAAATGAGTCAGTCTAATGACCATTGCAATGCCGATTCATGACTGCCTGAATCTTTTTTTTTTCTTTTTTCTCAGTCGTGAGCCCTGAACTCTGGGCCTGGGCGCTGTCCCTCAGCTCTTCAGCTTAAAGCTAGCACTCTGACACTTGAGTCACAGCACCACTTCTGACTTTTTCTGTTTGTGTGGTGCTGAGGAATCGAACCCAAGGTCTCCTACATGCAAGGCAAGCGCTCTACCACTGAGCCACCTTCCCTGCCCGAATCTTTAAAGGAGGGGCCTAACCAGCTGGTGTGCAAGCTGGGACAGGCAGGCAGGATCTGTCTCCTGTTCTTCGGGAAAGCCTGGAGCTGCACATCATAGATCATTTCCCCTGTGTGGTCCAGGAGTCTGAGATCAGAATGGTCAGGTGGCTAGGCTCAGGTTGGCCTTTGTTCCAGCCTGGGCTGGCTCTGCTGGACCGGGATGATCTGGTCTAGGGGTAAGATGCAGGAGGCCAGGTGTAAGATCTCAGGCCGCCCTGAACATACATCCTATGCTTACTTCATGGGGTGGCACAGGGCGTGAGGGATGGTAGGAGCATCGAACCGAGCGAGGTGTCTTCCGCTCCCTGCCCATGTATCTTTGTGCCGTGGGCAGGGGTTCAATGCTATACCATCCAGCCTCCTCCCTGAAGGAATCACAGCACTGTCTGCTTCTGCACTCCTAATCTGAAATGCAAATGTTCCAAAAGACACACAGTGTTTGCTGATGTGAGAGGAGAAAAAATGTGCGCTCTCCTCTCCCGGCCCAGCAGCCATGCCTCTCCTTCCAGGCCTGGTCAGCTCCCGCAGCTCTGAATTGTTAGAGATGAACTTGAGCGTGATCTCTAGGGTTGCCACCAGCTCCAAATTCTGACTCCGGTTAATGAGCTGGAGCCTAGAAACTCAATTATGATCATTTTTCTCCTGCACGGGAAGAAGGTAGGAACGCTTCGGGAAGCCCTCTGGAGAGCTGATGACAGCGGTGGCTGCGTGTGGGGATTACCCAGAGGCGTGCATAGATTCATCAGTGCTGCCTTCTTATTAAAACTAAAGAGCAGATCAGTCTCGCTGCCAGGGAAGCCCAATCTTGCCCTTTACCGTCCAGCTCCCTCTCATCACCATGGCTTCCAGGCGGAGGCACTGGGTCTTGTTGACTCAGCAGCACTGTTTGGGGTGCCTGGCTCTCCTGAAGGGATCTCGGGTGATCTCAGGACCTCACCGACCCCTTTGTTCCCAGCTGCTCCCCAAAGAGAGGAAAGCCAGACTGGGAATGGAGCTCCTTGGCTCTCAGCCCTCCTTCCGACCTGAAGGAGAGGTTCCAGGCAGAGAGGGGGCACTGGGGACCACCCTTCTCTGTGCCCTCCCCAAGCACACCTGTCAGCGTCTGGGCTTCCACCCCAGCATTGGAAAAATGGAAGACCACCACCTGGACACGCCTAAGCCACACAGCTCAGCTGTGTTCAGCCCCTGATAGCCACATGTTCTTGCATTTAAATTTCCAGACTCTGGGAATTCCTTTAAATCATTGTAACTGTAATCGTTAGAGGGCCTGAGAGATGGAATTGGATCCCGGGCCAGAGAGACAGAGACCCTGGTGAAGATCATCAGCATAGCATCACGAGCTCTTGTGTTTCAAGAGATCTTGTCCCAGGGTTGACAAGGAATTTCACGCAGGCTCTGCAGGGGTGACCACACCGATTTACCAGCTGATTGGTCAACTCTGCTGCTCATGGTTTTCACCTCCTCTGGGGCTCTGGCCTCCTCGGTGTGTTGGGGATCTGATCATCCTAGTTTGTTTCCTTGGGCTGTGTCCTGGGCTTGTTTGTTTCCTTGGGCTGTGTCCTGGGCTTGTCTGATGCCTGGTTGGCTAAAAAGGCACTTGTCCACTCAACAGCACGGACCTTACTGACCTTGGAGGAAAGGTCAATGCCGGGATTGAGCATGGCTTACTTTTCTCATTCCTTTCTCCCTGCTAAATACTGGAAGATGCCAAGTTTCTGGGCCACCGAGTTACCAAGCCAATCCACCGGGTCCCACACTGCCACTGGCGTCCTCCCCGAGCAGTCTTTGATATTAATGCAGGAGCAAAGGGGGACTTGAGAGACTCCCAAAGGATGCTTGATTTATCAGGCTCAGATTGTATGGCCCTTGGGCTTAGGGTATGAATCATACACGGAAGTTGCTACTCTCCTGCTAAGGCCCAGTGGCTTTGCAGGTGGTGCTTTTCTCTATGTCAGACCTCTGCTCACTATGGTGTTGGTGATGAGCCCATCGCCTGCTCCCTCCCCACCCCCCCACCTTGAGGCACTGAATCCACCTGCATCCAAGCCAGCCCACCTGCTGGGCTGGGTTTCTGGCTCCCAGGGTGTCCTGGGACTGATTTAAGCTCTGACATCAGTTTCTCCCTCTGCACTGAGCCTCCCACACACCAGGGGGCGCTCTTGCAGGTGAGGTGAGTGCCCTGCTCACCTGCGGGATAGACCAGCACTTAGGGCCCTGGAGACTTTAGTAAGGTGGCAGGGACCGTGGTTGCTGACTTACTAGGAGGCTCTCTGCCATCAGGTTCCCTGAGCACGTCAGCTGCTGCCCAGCAAGCTCGGTGACAGCTGCACTCTATGATAATTTTGCAAATTATTATTTTTAATATAATCAGTGTTTTCCTTAGGCAATAGAGGAAAAAAGTTGAATTGCTCACAAACTAATAAAGGTTTATCTTCTGAAGCATCAAATTCTCAAATTCTGTTTACCCATGAAACATACACCTCCTCTCTTTGCCCACCGGGAAGAAAATTTACATTTATTTTCCCTGATAAACAAAAAAACCCATGCATTCTGTGTTGACGTGGTTTGCTGTTGCGCCCGTCCTTACATTAAAAATGCTAGAAAGAGTGCAGGGAAATGGGGACGGGGAGGGGCGGGGGAGACTTCCATCACTCCAGGGTTTAGTTCTCACCCCAGGAAGTGGTCAATACTGGGGTTGAATGTGATCTGGGGCTTCGCCACTACCAACAGGCATAGAAAAACAACTGCCCAAAGGCCTGGAGCCAAGGGACTGAAGGAAGCAGAACGGTTTTGTCATGGTCCACGGCTTCCCCAGGCTCCCAGGCGGAGCTGTGTCACCTGGGGATGAGACAGAGATTCCTAGCTGGACCTTGGGCCTCGGAAGCCCTGCTTGTGGCCGAGGAAGTTGGAACCCTGCAGTTCCCTATTCGTCTCTGGGGTAGAGGTCTTTGATGTGTCTGAAGCATCAAGTGTGGTTACCGGCTCCGTGAATGATTCGGTGTTTTTCCTTTCCCTGGTTTGCAGGTATGGAGATATGAGGAGACAGATTGGCTTTGAAATCCGAGACATGTGGTACAACCTGGGTGAGTAGCAGCCCTCCTGGGCCGGCGGCCATCTTGATCTGCACTGGGTCCTGACATGCCCTGTTCCTCAGGGTCATCACATATTAAAAAATCGGAATTGCTGCTTTTTGTAACCACCGTGCTGGGTCACTGAAAGTTAGACCAAAGGGGAGGAGAGAGATCTGCTGGGTTGGGCAGAGGGACAAATGGAGAATGTGCCCCTTGTGTCTGCCAGCCTCTTGTGTCAGGACTGCATTTCTTGTAGGTCTCTATTGCTCCCAGGCATCCTGGCAGGCCTCACTTTCTTGTCTGAGGCAGGATTTCACTATGAAGCCCAAGCGGGACGGGAACTCGTGATCCTCCGCCTCTGCCTCCTCAGCGCCAGGGAGACAGGCATGCACATCGTGCCAAGCACACCCCTTCGCTTCTTGCGTATCAAACCATGCAGTCGTTTGGGTGACATTGCCCACCGCTCCCTGCACTCCCTGCACAGAATCTAACTTCTGAATGGTTTATTCCAAACTGGATCCTGGGGGTGGTGGCACCAGGGAGGGGGGTGGCACCGTGGGGTAGAGGGTGGTACCATGTACTCCTCCAGTCAAAGCACTCAGGGATACGGATGTGTGGGATACTGTGATGATGGAGAATATGAAGCAAATACAATTGCATCCAAAATTTTCCAACAAGCTCATAAGCAACCAGAATAAGAAGTTCAAGTCTCTGTAGGAAGGTTCATCACTATAACATGCAGTTCTTTGATTATGACTGGTCATAATCTGTTTGTTGCTAATCCAGTGTTTCTTGCTGCCTGGAGGACACTGAAGACGTTTAACTGGAGACCTGTAGCGGTCGCATTCCTAGTTGGTACTCAGCTCTTTTCACCCTCTTGCTTCCCGTGCTGTCAGAGCATGCGGGGCTGGTAGCCTTGGCCAGGTCCTCAACAATGCTTCAGTTTAATGTCCCATCTTCCCCCATCTGATTGACACCGTCAGCGGCTTGTCTGAAGAGGGCCTGGCTCTCTCCTCTTCCTCAGGGACTGGAAAGTGTCCTCTGTTCTTGCAGGACTGGTCATGGGAGCTGCTCACTTCTGAGCAGCTCCTGGCTCCTGACTTGCAAGTATATCTAGAAAGATGCAGATTGGGAGAATGTGATGAAAAACTAAATGGGAATGGGACAAGCACATTGATGCATCGTGTAAGGTGACAAAACAGAGAAGCCACATTTTGAGAGGTCGAACCTTGGAGTCTTTATCAAAAGGCCAGCGACTGCATTGTGGACTCCTGTTTCCAAGACCAGCAGCCAGCAAATACACTTAACACTGTTAGGAAACTGAGCCATGAAGGCCAGAAAGGAAAGAAGGAACTACCAACAAACCAATTCAGCTCCAGTGGAGAGCTGCAGTGGGAGGCCATGGTGACCAGAGGAGAGCAGGTGACCAGACACAGGACTTAAACACAGAGACTTGTGGCATGGAGTAATGCCACTTGAGCTGGTCCAGGCCTAAATAGGGTCAGGTCAGGGGGCACTGGACTGACAGGTTTAGTAACCTATCAGCCAAGTCCCTGCCCCACCCCCAGGGATTCAGGTACACCCATCACCTAGGAGGTGGGAGCTTCACCTTCCCCCATTATGAAGACAAGCTACCAGACCCTACTGTCCACCATGTGGCCAGGATGACGCTGAGCAGACCCGAACTCCCTATTTCAGCATGCCTGTAATTTCAGCTACTCAGGAAGTGGTGGTACGAGGATCACAGTCCAGATCAAAAAGTACAAGACCCTATCTGAAAGACAAACTAAGCAGCAGAAAGACTGGGGTCTAACTCAAGTGGTAAGACGCTGGGTTCAATCCCCAGTACCTGCAGCCTCCAAAAAAAAAGAGAATGAACCATGGGTTTTGATGACGGCATGTCATTGATTGGCTCTTGGCCTCCCTGGCCTCCCAGACCCCTTCCATCTGGCTCTGGAGGGCTACACCTACTGTGCCCACGTGACCCCCTCTCAGCTCTTGTAGGACCCTTCACCTTTACCTCCATGAGCTCTCTATGTGAGCAGACCTGTAGTGACCCCTCTTATCTCCAGGGAAAGTCAGGCAAGAACTCCCTGGTGTGCTTTGTCTTTCTTCTCCTGTGAAGCATAACTTCGCAAATGGCTCTTTACCCAGAAATAGACATTGGCAAACTCATAGAACACAGCCGTAACATTGTCTGTGGAGATGCTCGCCATATAGACACTTCACTCAGCCCAGTGAGGCTCTCAGGAGCAAAGCTGCCATGGAAGCTTCTGGGTGGAGAGGCAGAGCAGTGAGGAGTGGAATCTGTGTGTGCTGTGTCCTGGGGTGGGAAACACCTGGCCCTTTTGAAACACATACAGTCATTTGGTTCACAATAGCAAACACATGTATGCTCTCATCAACTTCCCCACCAACTGCCTGCGTTGATAATTTTGTACGGCCCTCAGATGATACCACAACTCTCTAAATGATCCTTGGAAGAAAAAAGAGTCCTCATCCCATGAAAGCCTGTCTTGCTGCGCGCTCTCGGGTTAGGCCTGGAGTCAGCCAAGGATCCTCAACGACTGTCAAGGGCTTTGCAGGTGACCTGGACACAGCAACCTGTATGCCCATGACCTGAGTGCCAGCCCTTGTCTGTCTGAGACCTGCCGATCATTGCAACACGGAGCCCACAGGAAGGCTCTGTCCCTGGTCCCCTTCCCTTGGGGCAGGGATGGAGCGGAGAGACTGCAAGTCTAGAGCTGTCACGTGTCCCTGTCTGTTTAGCCTCAGACAGATGGCGCTGTCCAACATTTCCTTTTACTCGTTTCTCTAGAGGTTATCATAGAATTGTGTTTAGAACCAGGCCCAAAGTCAAGGCGTCTCAAGCAAGGTTCAACCATTTACCCTGCATGCCAAGTAAAGAGACGTGGTGAAGGGCAGAGAAAGGCGATCGTTACTGCGTAGCAACCATGGGAAGACAGCGCTTCAGTACGCCTCCCGCCATCTCGGGGGTATAGACACTTGGGTTAAATAGATGTGGGGGCATGGAGTGGAAGGGCTGCTGAGTTAACACAGCCCCGGGTTGCAGGCATGGTGACCCTTAGCTCAGTCTTCGGAAGAGTTCTCAAGGTTTTTTTCATGTTACATTGGAACAAGTTGCCTGCCTCCTGAGTGTTTGTCTGTGTCCTTTGAGATGACAAGAAGGCTTGGCCTGTCCGACAGGACGTTTGCCTTCCACGCCAGGTGCTTCCCACTGAACCTTCTCCTTGGAGTTCAAGCTGACTGCAGAGGGACTGCAGCAGAGGACAGCGCAGACCAAAGGGCACAGGTGCAAAAGTGGGAGACTCTGAGTCCATGCAAGGGGCAGCCGCAGCACCTTAAAGTAAGCTGAGGAGGCTGACTGCAGTTTTCAGAGCCTTCCAATCTTGAGGCTCAATAATTCCATGACATATGTCTGATGGGCTCGATAATAGTGTTAAGTCTCTTAGAACAGAGAAGAGGACCACTCATGATTCATTCTAATTGATCTCTCTGTTCTTTCTTAAAATCATGCTGTGGCAGATGCATTTGTCATCTGCAGGACTCACACCAGCCGGGGGCTGTGTATAGCCCCCGGGGGTGGGAGCAGGAGGGAACCACAAGAGGCCGGCTCCAGAGACGCTTGGGGTCTCTGTTGGATGACAGACTGGGCAAGGCAGGGCTGGGAATGTGGCTTCCACCTGCCAGGCCACCCAGGGTGGACTGGACGCTTTACCGTGGCCAGTCCTAAAGAGGTGACTCCACTGCCGCTTTCAGACGGAGGCACGGCGTGTGGAATGTCACGGGAGACGCCGTTCTCCACATCACATAGGAGGAGCACAGCCCAGCAGAGGTCCGGAGGGGTCGCTTCACAGGGAGACGGCTTCCTTCCCACTTGGCATATCGCTGTTGCCACCATGCAGTCCCCTCTGGGATTCCAGAGGACCTTCTCCTCCTTCTAGGGGCCCTTTAGTGCCAGGGTCACTGCCTGGAACAGAGGATTCCCCACTGTCCAGAGCCAGGCTCTGACCGACGGGTACTCTGGTGTTGGATCTCCCATGTGCAAGTGTGGTGTGTGGGGCACACATTCAGAGCCGGGGCACTGTTCAGGCTGTTCAGACCTTGATCTTAGATTTCAGCCTCTTCAGTGGCTAAGATCACAGGTGAGATCCACCAGCACTCAGAGGTCTGTATTTTTAATAGGGACCTTGGAGGCCCTTGAGACTAACCACTCTTGAAAGTGGCCCTGTTTCATTTTTTGTCACCTGCCGAGATAGCAACAGGGAAGGAGAGAGGAGCTTGGGGAAGGAGGGTTTCTCAGGGGCCTTTGGAAAGCTGGTGAGGAGACCTTCATGGGCCTGGCTGGGTTCTCTAAGGCCATTTCAGAACAGTTGGCTTCATCTGGCAAACAAGTTGGCCCAGCGACAGAGACTTGCTTTGCCCTGTGAAGGATGCTCTTAAGGGAGCAGACGTCCCCAGTTCCTCTTGTCACTTCTGATTTAAATGCAGTGATTAATGCCTGAGATGGTTTTTGCAGCTCTTCAGCTGAAAACATTGACTTGGGCATGAGAAGCAGACAAGAGGTCAAAAGGAAACCATGGCCCTAGCCAATTAATGACGGGGGCTTGGAATCCGCCGGAAATAACAAGCAACCGCCAGGGTTGGATGCTTTGCTAGCAAAGAAATAAAAGTTAAAGAAGTAATCAAGTTCATCTGCTTGAGTTTCACCAGCAGCCCCTCCAAATGGCTCAGGCTGGCTCTGGGGGTCACCTTGGGTCCCCTCCCCGTTTCCTACCAAGATGCTCAGGTGTTTGAGTCTGGCTGTGAGTGTCATTGTTTGGGCTGCCATTTTCCAAATTCATGACAGTGCATCTCAATTTCCCAGTGTGTGCACAACCTATTTTCTACACAGCTTTTTATTACGCTTCTTCCAATGGGCTCAGCTTTAGGAATGGGTTGGCAAGCACATCAAGCCATCTGTGCCAGGAAAATGAAAATAGAAGTCAGATCAGGTGTGTTTGTCACCTTAGAATTAGTCACCTCTCACTTCAGGAGACCTAGCACCAAGCACTCTACGACTCTGTCTTCCCTGAGCCCTTCCAGGACCAGGTGTAGTCCCTGTCCACGAGGGTCTCAGATGGAATGCCCACAGACAGGGACAGGAATCGGAGGTGTGTTTGTGCCACCTGTCCCATGGGACTGGGGGTGTTTTCTTGGGAAAGGGGAAGGTGCTTAGTTACTCAGCTCTGTGGGTGCTTATCAAAGTCCCCCAGGCAGGCTGCAGGCACCTACTTCCCTCAGTGTGTGCAGCAGGTACCCACCTCCATTTGTATTTGTTTATTACACTGGCTGATGGAGAGAGCCAGCACCTGCCATCTGAGCAGCCCGGAACAAGTGTCCAAACAGCAGGAACTGTGTTGGCCTGGCTGGGCCGGTGATGGTGTTCATGCAGGGATTTCCGTTTTAAGTATTCGGGAATGGGCAGTTTTGGGTTTTTGTTGTTTGTTGTTATTGTTTATTGTTTTAATGAAAATGTCTCTGCTGCACAATATGCCCTGCACAATATAGCGGCTAGGGGAGGTTTGGCCCTACCTCTGGTGAGTGCAGAGATGCTTTTCCCAGGGTAAGACTGTGTCCTGAACACTGGGAGGCACTGGCTGGCAGGGGCCTGCACTGGAGAGAAAGAAAGGTCTGGATCCTTTTGTGCGATAAATGGAATGTTCCAGGGAAAGCCCAAAACGCAGATTTCAAGAGAAAAAAAAAAGGAATGGTAGAGCCTCAGCCAGCTCAAGGACTGTTTGTGAGGGACTCTTCAGCCCCCAAGGATGATGCTACCCAAAGGGCGGGGCCTGTCCTGAGCAGGGTACCCCCTATACCCATGGCAAGGGTAGTGTCCAGTGACCCCGATTTCTGTGGCTTAGTTTTCTGGCACCTGCACCCATAGCCACATGTTTCGGCCTTCTAGGTTCCTCGCAGCCTGAAACACGGGCAGAACTTTGCCACACTGGGGTTGTTGTTGATGAACAGCCTGCCGTCGCTGTCATCTGTTTTCTGAAGCATTGGCTCTGACATTTTGTAGTCATAATACAACAGAAGTGTCACCTGCGAGGAGACGGAATGTAATGGCATTTTCAAGAGAATGCTTTGAAGCTGTTATATGCCTTTCAAAAGCATTAAGGGTTTGGGGGAGAGATGAAAATCACACTATTACAGCCATAGTCAAAATATCAATGATTGAGTAAAAACTTGAAAATAGGATTTTAATTAAATTCGGGTCCCTTATTGAAAGTCACATGTGCATGGTAGCTTGTACATGTATCCATCCAATAAAAAAAATCATCTAGACTACCTATAGATATATTTCCTTAAATATAGTTCCTGAGGATAATCAAATTTGTGCAATGATTCTCTCTACAGTGATCTGTATTCTTTGAATTGTAAAGAAAACTAAATTCTTTATCCATTCTGATTCCTGATTATGCAAAAGTGTTAGATTGATTAACTGGATACATCACTGGTATTAATAAGAAAAACCTCACAGTTCACTCAAGCATATAATTTTTTGTGTACACTTTTGAAACCTTTAGGTGAATCCAAGGTAGAGAAAGAGAGAGAGAGAGAGAGAGAGAGAGAGAGAGAGAGAGAGAGATTTAACCCTTAAAGTCCTACACCAAATATGTTAACAGAAATTTAGGGCAACTGAGTTGACTTTGATCGTTTCATCTGGCAAGAGAAGAATTGGGCAACAAATGGACGTAGTGAAGACAATGGTGAAGACATTAGAGAAGAAATCTGGGAGAGAAAAAGCGCGAGGCATTGACACGCTGCAGGAAGACAACACTCCGCCGTCTCAGCCATCTTGCATCATCTTTGGAGTTACCCAGATTGGACTGGGGTTGATGGGAGAATTGAGGTCCTTGAAGACAACTGTTTGTTTGGTGGCTTCCTTTCTATTCTATGCTCTATAAGGTTGTCACACAAGAAGCTGTACTGTCTGGCCTTTATTTCCTCATTCTTCTTACGCATTCTTTTGAAATCCTCCGACCCCATTTGGCTGTCAGAGAGGTTCTGGCTTATCAGCAAGTTTTACAGGCCACAATGTTCTGTCACCTGCCTGCTTTTCCACTAATTCCCATTCGCCTATTCTGCTTAGAAATGGAATGGCTTTAGTTAGAGTGGGGTGGCAGGAAGGTGAAGGAGGACGTCTGGAGTTGAAGATGGGAGGGTTGGGTTGATGAGGCCACATCCGGTAGGAGCAGCTTCTGCTGCCCCCTGGTGGGGGGGAGGGCTGGCGGCCTTTCGTGTGGAATTGGTTTCCAGCAGCTTCGTGGAGTCTTAGCATCAAGGCAGGGAAGCCAGCTTGGGGATTGCTGCTGCCTGCTCCCTCTGCCTTCCCTGGCTCAATTCAGAATCCATATAAGGTCACCCTGGTCCAGCTCAATCCTCTGCAATTTGGAAGCAGCAGAGCCAAAGGGCATGGGGCCACTGCGGGGCTGGGTGGCAGGAGGGAGCCGCTGCCCCCTCCCCGGGCCACTTGCATAATTTGGGAGACTTACAAATGGTGTTCCTGTGTGAGTGTCTGGGTAAAGACGCTTGCAAAAGCACGATACCAAGACTTCCAGCAAAATCAACTGAAATAAAAACGTTTTCCTGCGTGCGTGCAGGTGACCTTCTCTCTGCAGGACTAAGTGGCAGGTTGCTGGCTTCTGTCTTACTTCTGTCTTACCCATGGCTTCTGTGGTAGAGACATGGCAGGGCCGAGGACCCTGTGACCAGAGGCAAGGAAGGGATCCCTAAAGCAAGGTTACAGCTGCGACTTCACAATCCCAAACCCAGGCCCAGCCCTGCCCCTCCCTTCCCTCTGCACCCCTCACTAAGCAGCTGTGGGTCCCCCCCTGGGCCCTCACCATCAGGTGAGGCGGTCACAAGCCACCCTTGGAATGCGAGGAGCCCCCTGCTGTGTACTGGGCTGGACTTAGTGAGTGCTTACTAATGTCAGGGAATGTTACAGTGTTCACTACCGTTCACCACTGACCTTTCACCTCCTGGTATTGGTATGACATTTGGTTGGAAACTTGTTGTAAACTCCTTAGTTCAAGTGACTCACCTGCTTTGGCAATCTACACAGCTGGTTTATTGTTATTTTTGTTGGAAGGAGGGAGGAAAGAAGGAAGGAAGGAAGGAAGGAAGGAAGGAAGGAAGGAAGGAAGGAAGGAAAATAAGTTAGTTCCTGACTTTCTAAAAATTATATATGGACAAGCTGGGCGTAGTGGCTCATGCCTGCAATCCTAGCTACTCAGAAGACTGAGATTTGAGGATTGTAGTTTGAAACCAGCCCTGGCCAGAAAGTCTGTGAGACTTTTATGTCCAGTTACTCACCAGAAGCCAGAAGTAGAGTGCTAACAAAGTGAGAGCATCTGGCCTGAAGTTCAAGTATCAATACCATACATGTGTATGTGTGATATGTGTGTGTATATATGGAATATTTTCCATAAATATATAGAGATATATAATATAATCCAGAAAATTGGTTAGTTGACTAGTTCTTCAAGCATTGTCCTGTCAAACAGTCTTAGCCAAAGGAGTAGGAGAATTTCTCCTGCTTATTTATTCCCGTCCTTTGAGAGCAGAGCTTTGGTTGGCTTTGATTGTAGTCATTTGGAGTGCCATAGCAATCACTGCTTTATTCACAGAGGCACCATGAAAGCTCTTCAGAAGATGCTGGAGGTAGACAGGATGGAGAGAGCATCTGTGCTCTGTCTGTGTCAACTCCTGTTCCGGTCCTTGTCCACAGAGTTAGGCACTGACGCTCCCGGTCTCAGCTTCTGCTCTGTCCGCAACTGGAGACCAGCGGCTCCTTGTGTGCTCAGTCTGTATGTTACACGTGTCTCCTTCTGTAATCCTTCTACTGGATGGAGTTTTTATGACCAGACATGCTCAAAGTATTGTCTGCAGATAGGAAACAGTAGGCTATTCTCGAGTCTCCAGTTTAAACCCATGTGACCCGTGCTGTTATATTTTGTGTACTTTTAGAGTCCTTTTTTTTAAGTTTCTGAATTAAATCATTTCTTTACTCCTAGGTCAACACAAGATAAAGTTCATTCCAGAAATGGTGGGCCCTATCTTAGAAATGACATTAATTCCTGAGACAGAACTACGCAAGGCCACCATCCCCATCTTCTTTGATATGATGCAGTGTGAATTCCACTCTACCCGAAGCTTCCAGATGGTAAGGGCACCCGGGCTACTTGGGGTGGTGGGGAGGGGGGAGCCATACTACTAGACACCTCGAAAGAGCATCATAGATGATTCTAGAACTGAAGCTGTATTAGCCATGGAAACAGAAGCCTGTGATAGCCCTTAGTGTTCTCAATGTGAACCTATGGCTTGCTTATTTTTCTTACCTGCAGGTACACATTGAACCTTGGGTAACGCCCCTCTCCTGCTGTGCTGTGGAGTGTTTAATCAGATGTTGTAATGGCTGTCTTGGGCACTTACTTTTTAAATCTGAAGTCTTTGCTTTTACTCTTGTGGGTGTGGTGGGGGGTCTTTTGTCCACGTGATGGAACAGAGGAGAAATCCTCAAAGGAAGTGTGTGTCAGTGCTCAGCTCCCACGGCAGCAGGCCGCACCAGAGGCAGCCACTTGGCTGGAGAAGTAGCAAAATGTCCTTTCCTCAGTCCCGTGGAAATGTAACTCCTGTCGGTATATTCTTGAGTGGGTACATGCACACCCACACTATGCACATCCTGTGTGTGCACACGTGCACGTACAACGACTTTATCCTTAATCAGCTCAAGGTTCGACCATGGTGCTCTGCAGGAGGTGTGCCCTGGTTGTGGAGCACCTCTACACTAAAAGTAACCTTTAAAGTTGGGTACCAGTGGCTCACATCTGTAATCCCAGCTACTCAAATACTGAGATAGGAGAATCTCTTTTCAAAGCCAGCGTGGTCAGAAAAGTCTGTGAGACTCTTAATCTCTGATGAACCAGTGAAAAGCCAAAAATGTAGGTGTGCCTCAAGGGATAGAATGCTAGTCTTGATCAAAAATCCAGTGAAGACCATGAGGCCCTGAGTTCAAGCCCTAGTACTCACACACACACACACACACACACACGGAGAGGGCCTTTAAAAAATAACAATTCAATTAAGTCAATATATGAGTACTTGATTTTTGATGAATTTTGAAGAGAAACTAAAAGTGCAATAATTCAAGTAGTATGGGTGTAGTGAGATCTAATCTTTAAAAGTCAGATTTCCTTGCCCACCTTTGTCCTTGCTGGTAATTTAAGGAAGCCTTGAATGGCTGATACATTTTCCATTTCACCATTACTGCAAGAAAGCAGAATTCTTGAAGCATTGTTTTGTTCTGTGCTGGAACAGAAAAATGAACATGCAAACAAAGGCTCTCTACCCAGTGAGCAGGACTTGGGTTTCACCCTGCAGGGGTGCACTCCTACACCTCCAGTTCAGCAGCAGAACAGGGGTATAAAAAGGATCTAGCCAAAAAGGGAGTTGTGAGGATGACATAAGATCCACCTACGGCCCTGAGCACAATGCCTGCCACCACCAACAATGTGTGTCCGTCACTGAGCCTCGGTAGCCGGGCAGCACCCAGCACGGGCACAGCCTGCACATCAAGTCCTCAGGGTCCCGCAGTGTGTGTGTGCTTCAGGCTCAGGGCTGCTTACAGGCTGGGTCTGCTCACTTCTCCAGGTGGGCTTCTGAAAGGAAGGGGGTCTGCATACTGAAGAAGCCGTTCTCACGGAGCTCCCACTCACCACACTGGGCTCCAGAACCCCTGCGGAGGACCGTGGCATCTGGCTGTAGGATACCAGCATTCATTTCTGTGCTTGGATCTTCCAAGTGGGTTTATAAGGTCACTGGCTACTATCCCCTTCATAGTATCCCAATGGAGACCCGTAGAAAGGGCTCCATGTTATTTTTCCCAATGTCCTTTTATCTGGGTAGAAGTAATTGGTGTTAGTACCTCATCTTTTCTCCCTTCTTCTTCCCTCCTTCCTTCCCTCCTTCCTTCCTTCCTTCTTTCCTTCTTTCTTTCCTTCCTTCCTTCTTTCCTGCTTTCCTTCCTTCCTTCCTTCGTTCTTTTTCTTTCTTTGCCTAGAACAGGAAGGTCTCCAAACATCTATTTTTTTATATACAAAACTAAAGAGAATACATTTTTGGAAGAGCTACTTTTGTTTCTCTGGTTCACTGTTGGTCTCTGTGCATAGGTAGCATTATAAATTTTACTTTTGTAAATTTTACTTTCTGTGATGTCTTTCTGTTTGACAGTATAGGACATTCTCTTTGATTGCATGGTAGCCATCGTGATCAGAGAAGGGTGTCACATTCCCTCTGGCCCTCCTCTCTGTCCCCTTGTTCAGGTTGCTTGCAGGTCTTCAACGCCGAGTACGATTGTACTACAGGTACATCCTTGCATTCCGCATGAATTTGTCTCAAACGTTTTTCCTAGTGTACATTCTCAAAAAGGCAGTTGCTGACTCAAAATGTTTTGTAACTTCTGACACTATTGCCAAGTTGTTTGATATGATTGCTAGCAGGTTTGTCCCATCTCCACTGCTGCAGCCTCTAAATCCTGGTGCCGGCACTGCTAGCTCACGCCAACTACAAATTATCATTTAAAGTACTCTTTCCTAGGCAGGAAATTTATCCAACTTTTTGAATTTTATATAAATCAAGCACAAAGAAAGACTTTGTGAAAACTGCTATTATTGTAAAAAATTCAGGCAGAGGATGAGGGGCATATTGATATAGATAAATGCCACGTGCCCCCAAAACTCAACTCTGAAGCCTTTCGAGCCATGTATACCATTTGTCATTGGAAAATGGTCTTTGAGTCAAAATATAGGTCAAGGGGAGATGGAATAAAGATGAATGACAACTTGGCTTCCAATTTTCCCCTCCTTCCTCACATTCTTTTGTCTCCCCGCTGTCTCCCTGTAGCTTGAAAACACCATACAATAATCCAAGGTGGTGTTTTGATCTCAGTTCACCCAGGTTGGATGGCAAATGCCGTCCCATTGTTGGAAGCCACAGCTGGTTTGCTTCATTTCTCAACACGCCCCACTCCCAGCTTCAGCCACTGTCTGGTATCATTCCCAGAAGCTAGACACTGAGTAATGCCATGAAGTACTTTTTCCCCTTGAATCCCATCTCAGAAGCTGCCGCTAATTCTACTGGCCTGAAATGATACTTAAACACGAACGAGAACACACAGGTCCTTAGAAGGAGCGCCTGCTCTAGCTGCGTTGGTCAGCATGCCCTTCCCTGTTCCTTTCATTTTGTTGTTTGTTTGTTGTAGGGAAGGCCAAAAACACTGAAACTTGCAAAGTACTGTGTTAGCTTTCCCTCGCCATGGTACATATCTGAGATGGTCAGCTTATAAAAAGAAAAGAGTTATTGTGATTCACAGTTGCTCACTCCTCCATGGCCAGGAAAAGAAATGAGAGAGAGGAAGGGCCTGGTGTCCACGCTCCTCTCCAGTGATCTGAAAACTTCCCACCGCTGCCAGGCCTGCCGTCTCCCAAAGGTGCCAGCCTGGAGGTCGAGCCCGTAACAAAGGAACATGGGGTCCCAAATATCTTACCTGGTAGAATTACCCTTTCTTTCCCTTCCTTCCTTCTTTCCTCCCTCCCTCCCTTTCTGTCTCTCCCTCTCCCTGTCTCTGTCTCTGTCTCTTTCTGTCTCTCTGTCTTTCTGCCTGTCTTACTCTCTCTGTGTCTCTCTCTCCTCTGTGTGGTGGTACTGGACTTGAACTCAGAGCCTCACACTCTTCCTCAGCTTTTTTCACTCAAAGCTGGTGCTCTACCACTTAAGCTGCACCTGTACTTCTGGTTAACTGGAGATAAGTCTCTCTGATTTTTCTGCCCAGACCATCTTGGAGTCACAATCCTCAGAACTCAGACTTCTGAGTAGCTGGGATTGCAGGTGTGAGCCACTGGCGCCCAGCTCCAGTTTTCCTTACTGTTGGGTATGTACATGATGTCCCAGGAGGACACCGGGGTGGCGTGGTCCTCTCTCAGATGTCCTCCCTTCACACTTGTTTGTGCTCATCTCCAGAGCTTGAACTCTGGGCCTGGGCGCTGTCCCTCAGCTCTTCAGCTCAAGGCGTGCGCTCTGCCACTTGAGCCACAGCGCCACTTCCTGTTTTCTGGTGATTTATTGGAGATAAGAGTCTCATGGACTTTCCTGCCTGGGCTGGCTTTGAACTGCAATCCTCAGATCTCAGCCTCCTGATAGCTAGGATTACAGGTGTGAGCCACCGGCGCCCAGAGTCGTCTCCATCTTTATGGCCTCGTTACCATTTGGTCTGCTTGGTGCAGGCTGCACCGGCCTTTCCTGTCTGTCTTGACTGCCCGGCGGTGGTTAGGAGGACTCGAGGCTCCTTCCTGAGTCTCATCCCCAGCACCCTTGAGCTTCTCTCCGTCATCTTGCGCTTTTCCAGGCCTCGCCTGGACTACCACCTCTGTCTCTCCACATGCTCTATCTTCTCTCGTTCCTGTCTGCTCTCTGTAGCCTGCCCTCTGTCCGCTGGTTCTTCTAAAGCACAAGGCCAGGCCCTGGTTCCTTGTTGGCGCTCCGTGGATGCGTCCTGCCCCAGTGCCTGGCTGTCCTGTCCTGCAACTCCACAGGAGCTTCAGGACCGGTCTAATTATCTAACCCGACCAGTCACATCAACAGGCCTTAAGTTACTTCCACGTTTTCAGTGGAAGTGCAGTCTAATAGATGGAAGGGAACTTTTTTCTCAACTTCAGTGTTTGAATCTCAAGATAGGTTTATTCTCTTACAGGTTGCTCAGTCTTCATACCGTTCTTAGAACGGTTAATGGTGAAAGGGTCTGTAGACTGTTGCTAGTGAAGTAAAGATCAGCTCCGGTGTGTTACACCTTTACCTTTGGAGTGGGGAAGTTCCCTCGGGAGCAGGTTACCTCAGGGAGGAATCCTGATGCTCTGCTTCAGCTCAAACAGCCGCCAGCATCACTGGCTCACGCCTGTGATCCCAGCTGCTCCTGGTCTCCTCCTCAAACCACTTCTGTGGTTGTGCTCCTTGTTCCCTATCCCACTCTCACACCAGTCCCAGAGAGGCCCGGAGGAGTGGGGAGGGCCTTCGCGATCCCCCTGGACAAGCCTGTCTAGATGCCTGGATGAGCCCTCACCTGGCCGCCAGCCAACTTTCCCCATCTCACTGAAACTCTGCTTTATAGATAGGTAAGGCCCGGAGTCTCTGCCTTAGAGTGGATTTTTACTTTATAAGGGGAAAAAAGCATGCTTTAAATTCTCCTGGCATCTTTTTAAAGAATTCCATTTGTTATGCCTTTGGAGAATGCAGAACTAACATCTGAGAATTGTAGCAAATGACCACATGGGCCATAGACCATTAATAAAATGGAATGGAAAAGGCTCCACGGCAAAATAATATTTTCAATCATGGAGCTATTTTATGTCATCTTTGTGAGGCTCAGTAAATTGCTCCACAACTTCCAGAAATTTCCATTTAGTTGTAACAATATTAGAACATGAGTAATCTTTGTGTCGTCAGTGTTTTTGAGTTCCTGTTTGAATAATCCCTCTCTGCTGCCCATGCCAGTAACCTTAAGCAAATAATTGAATAACCCAAGTGGATGCCGGCAGCTTCTGCCATGTGGTAGAAAAGCAAATATGTTTTGTACTATAATGCGAAGGTGAAGAAGTTTGGTGGCAATTTTATCCTGTTTATTCTCCAATTCATTGGGACTTTTATTCATTGGTTTGTTTGTCTGTACTTTCCATTGCAAAACACTGCTTTGGACGCTTCCAAAGGAAACTGTGCCACAAGAATTAGTCTTCCTTCAGACCCAGAGGTCATCCCAGAGCTCTTGGAAGCCACTGCCTTTGACTTCAGGAGGCCAGGTCTCTAGTGAAGAGCTGCCCCAGCTCCCATACGCCCCCTTAGCTTGGTCAGTGAAGCAGGGCTCCCAACGAGACAGTGTTGCCAGAGTCCACTGAGCCGCTATGATTGGGTTAGCCATCGTCACTTCCCACCAGCCACCCAGGAGGCCGAGACCTGAAGATCACAGTTCGAAGCCAGCCCCAGCAGACTAGTCCATGAGAATCTTATCTCCAGTGTACCGTCAAAAAGCCAGAAGTGGAACTGTGGCTCAAGTGGTAGAGTGCCAACCTTGAACAAAAACTAAGAAACAGTGAGCAGGCCCCGAGTCCACACACACACACGACGTTGCTCCTCAGTCTGTATTGTGCTATTGCACAGTGTGCTATTGCACCTGCCCGGGGTGTGGCCCTGATATCGTATGAAGACAGCAGACAGCGCCCTGCCAGGCTCTTCCGAGAGCGTGGCTTTGAGGTCTCTATTTCATAGAAACTACCAGGTCAGGGAGCTCCCTGCTGGGTAGACAGAGGATGTGGAAGTTTGAGAATGTGAGATCAGATGGAACATTAATTAAGCATGTAATTACATTACAGAGTGTTTTAGAAAAGAGAAGTCCAATATACATAAAAAAAATCCATGTGTCTTTGCACCAGGATTATAGGCTAAGTGATAGATTCAGAGATCAGTGACCCAGGGCGGTAGCATGGAGCCGAAGCCCCCGGGGTTTTGAAATGCCAGCTTGTCTCTGTGGAACTTTGGAATTCTTCTTAGCCTCTTTTCTCACCCAGGTGCAGTCTGATCCTCCCTCCCTCTCTCTCTCCCTCCTTCTTTCCCTCCCTCCCTCCTGTGAAGGCCATCAGGAAGGGCGTGGCATACCTGTAATTCCAGCAAGGCAAGAAAACATAGGCAGGTGCATCATAGTTTGAAGCTGACCCCAGGAAAAGTACATGATCTTATCCAAAAAGTAAAGCAAAAAACAAAAGGGGGCTGAAGGTGTGGCTTAGGTGATAGAAAGCCTGCCCAGCAATCACAGGCCCTGAGTTCAAATCCCCAGTACCTTCTGGATCCCTGAAAAATGTATTTATGCATACATAAATATATTATTAAGATTACAGTAAATCTAAAAATAAAAAGTCATTTCACACAAAATGTAATTTGCTTTGAGACCATCGTCATAATGTCTGGTCATATTCAATAACTTGCGCTTAACTTTGTCAAAGCGTAGAGGAAGCCACAGTTCCTTGCTAAGTAAATTGAATTAGCAACATCAGTGCCACTATGAGCACAGCCCACGTTCTATTTTAAAGCGTCTTCTGAAAGCCTTCTATTGATGTTCTCCCGTGTTCCTTGTTCTCTGGGGGCTGCTAGTATTAGAGCCGTGGAGATACTGTGTTCACTTAGAGATGCTGTGTTCACTTGATATTTTAAGTTAGATACCCTGTGGATATTTTCTGTAGCAGTGTTGGTGTTTCAGAAAGCGAAGAAGTCATAATGATTGTGCTTATTGCGTGAGTGAGCCTCGCCACCTTTTGAGCAGTACAATAAACCTGTGCTAATTTTATCCTAGCCACACACAGCCCTGCTACAAATCACCAGACAGTGTATACTGTCTGTCTCGTCAACATGACTCGTAGAACCAGCTCTGCTCCATCAGCAAATGTGGACAGGGTCATTTAATTCTGATTATGATCATAGTTTACAGCACACTAACAAATTGAGTCTAGAATGTTCTGTTTCAAAAAAAAATAATGAAGACCCTGAAATTAGAGGCTGGCTGCAGATCTCTGATATGGAATCCTTGCTGGTAAACAGAACCGAGTTGCCAGGTGTTAGCACAAATTGTTCAGTTTAGACTAGAGGTTAGTAAAATTAGAATCAGCTGTGTTCTGAGGTACTTATCATTCAGTCACTCTTTTTAGAAAACATTAAATTCATCAGTCAAAGATTTGATAAGCAGCATATTTAAGGAGCTGAGCTTCCTACGGCCTGCCAGGCTTCTGTGGGAGCATGCCATTTTCAGAAGTTCAAACACCTCCTGATTGACGCGTGATGAAGAATTTTAAATGTCTGTGTATGTATGCATTGGATAGGATGAGGCGTGTTTTCTTGCTGTGCTCACCACGCGTTCCCAGTTGTAAGTGCTCATTAAACATGCGACATTAAATCACTTGTTTTCATTTAATTCAGTCCTATTTTATAGCTCAATCATTTGCTCCAAAGCCTATCAGTATTTGCTATTTCTTTGGTATTACCATCATGGTACAGGCAAGGACTACTTTTAAATACCATCGCTGGGGCTAGCTGCAAGAGACCTGCCTTGTGTCCAATTCCAGAATCAATACGCTCTGGAAGAAGTCCTCTCTGTACGGAACCAAAGTTGTCATTTCACAGTAAAAGGCATTACCATAAGATTCCAGGTGAAAATAAAAAGCCAGGTTAAGCCATCTCTCTCCGATCCTAAAGCTCCAACCTGCCTGAGATCTCTTTTATACAAACATGTATTTGGGGTCCGTTGTGGTGGTTCATGCCCACAGTCCCTGCTAAGGAGACAGAAGTAGAGGGATCGTCATCACAGCTTGGTAGGAGGGAGAAGGAGGAAGATCTGTAACCTGAGGCTGGCCCCACTCAGCCAGGCCACCTGGTGTGTGTCTGGGAAGGATTGCATGAGACCAGGAGAAAGAGTGGGAAGATTACCAAGGGCAAAGTTGCTTTGAAGTTGCCAAGGCCTTGGTGTGGAGCAAGCATTGGTGCTTTTCTCCCAGGCCTGTTTTGAGCTGGTGTTTGATTGGTGCCAGCATGGAAGCCCCTCCCGGTCTTTTCCTCTGCTTCTCAGGGGGACACCATCAGCTTCAGCAGTACCCCGAGTTCCCAGTGCAGTGGTTGGAGCCTGTGGGGAGACTGCGCTTGTAGCTGAGGAGGCTTAGAGAGCAGCTTGTGTTGTGGGCCCTCATTGTCTGAGCTCCGTTCCTCTCCACACGTACCTGTGTGAAGCAACACCTGTGCCCTCTTGGGTACTGGTGTGCGCCCTGGGGGTGTAACAACAGCCAAGGAAGAAGAAAACACTTGCACTCTCTCAGCCGGCATTCTGATGGCACCTCGATGCTTCCGGCAAACAGCTCTGCCCTTGCTCCCCTTCTGTGAGTCCAGACTTAGGTTGTCTCCGTCTTTATGGAAGCCAGTTCCTCCTTTCTCCCAACACTCCTGCATGGGTGACCCCAGGGCCTCTGAGACTTGGGGAACCCCAGCTCTGCCAGGGAAGGAGATGGGGAAAACACACTCATTATTGAAGTAGTTATTTCCAGCCCGGTCACTCTGGATATTTGCAGCTTCTATACATTTGTGGCTCCCCCAAATTTAGTTTTTGCTGTTGCTGGTGGTGGTGGTGGTGGTGGTGGTGGTGTGTATGTGTGTGTGTGTGTGTGTATGTGTGTGTGTGTATGTGTGTGTGTGTGTGTGTGTGTGTATAGGGACTTGTACTTGGGGCCTGGGCCTTATCTCTTAGCTTTTTTGTTTAAGGCTAGTGTTCTACCACTGGAGCCACTGCTCCACTTCTGGCCTTTTGGTGGTTAATTGGAGATAAGAGTCTCACAGGTTTTGAACCACGCTCCTCAGATCTCAGCCTCCTGAGTAACTAAGATTATAGGCATGATGTACCAGCGCCCCGCTTCCCCTCTTGCTTTTGATTGGTATTTTACCAACTAGAGTGAGCCATTTCTCTGGGATCCATCAAGGAATGGCCATGAAGTAGCCTCCTGGGTGTGTTAGAGTGCCGAGGACTCTTGGCTGGCAAGTGACGTGCCATCTGTTCTATTTCAGGAGCCATGTTACTTCAGATCTTATTCATCAAGATGGAGCTGGGGACAGTGTGTGTGTGTGTCTGTGTCTGTGTGTGTGTGTGTCTGTGTGTGTGTGTGTGTGTGTATGTGTGTATTATTCCTTGATTCTTGTTCCCTACAGTTTCCTTGACTTTCTTCGGCTGTTGGACTATGCATGCTCATTCCATTACCCAGGAAGGGGAGTGAAGAATGCCCCGGTGGCCGGGGGCTCAGAGGATGGCATCTTGAAAGGAAATCAAGCCCAAAAGGCAGAAGGCAACTGCCTGGCGATGAACCGACCGATATATGTGCTGTTGACACTCGAGTCACAAAATGCAATATCCGCCATGCTGATATTTACGCTTTCCTCTGTTTAATTATAGTTTGAAAATGAGATCGTCACCAAGCTGGATCATGAAGTGGAAGGAGGCCGAGGAGATGAACAGTACAAAGTGCTATTTGATAAGATGTAAGTGTTGATTAGCGATGGGATTTGTGTCGGAATCGAGACAGAAGGACTGTAATTAGACTACAATGAACTTTGTAGCCCAGAAATAATTAAAATGTGTTAATAATGGAAAATATTTAAAATCGCACCTCTGTCGAGTTTCTTTTCCTGAGTATGACTAACAAGGTGTGCGTGATTATTTTTGCAGCCTCCTGGAACACTGCAGGAAACACAAGTACCTCGCCAAGACAGGGGAGACGTTCGTGAAACTCGTGGTGCGGCTGATGGAGAGGCTGCTGGACTACAGAACCATCATGAACGACGAGAACAAAGAGAACCGCATGAGCTGCACCGTCAACGTGCTGGTGAGTGAAAGCTTCAGGAACCTTCCGTCTTCCTAGCATGAGGCAGCCTGGGCCAAGGCCCGCGTGGCCCGCGTGCTGGCTGGTGACAGTTCAGCTCCTCCCATGGCAGAGTACGGCTTCCTGGGCTACTTTTCTCCCTGCTGCGGGGAAGGAACCATGAGTCTTGTTTGTAGATCGTCTCAGAACAAGTCTGTAAGCTCTCTAGAGGTTGTCCTGACGTGTTGTTGTTAAGAGCGATGAGCTATTTCATTGTGGAAAACCCAGGAAGTGTGATGGATTGCGGGTGTGCTAGGATTATGCCATGTTCTACTGTGAGTGGGCTGGATGCTGGCTGCTAACGGATATGCACATGTGTTCCGTGTCGTCTTCTATTTGTCTCCTGTCCCATAGATTCACCGGGCAGCATAGCATAGGTGTACCCGGGTAGCTGGCCTCGAGCTTCTGCACAGGAACACAGCTGGCCCTTGTTTCAGTGTCTTCTTGCATTCTTGCCACATCCAAAGTCATGGGCCTTCACGGTACTAACGTGGTTGGCATGAAACAAGAACCAGCATTGTTCTGGGGGAAGAAAGGGAGGCCTTTTCAAACTCCTATGGCCTACGAACATAACGCTCCAGTGCTGCCTTTGATCCTGAAGAGGATCAACGGGACCAATGGACACCTAGAAGGCAGAATGACCAATGAGTTTGTGGGCTTCCCAATGTTTACAATTAAGACTTGGAGTTATTTTAAGCAGGATTCCTTCTGCTCACCAGGATGTGAGCCACCACAGAGAAACGCCGCTGTGCCCTCAATGTGGTCTCTTACCAGCAGATCACCCGTCAGGAGACCTGTAACCACACCTGCACTCACTCATCAGCTTCCCATGCTGACGCGTCCATGCTTTCCTCCTGTAGTCACAGCCTGACTCAGCACCACCTACTGGCACCAGGGCCAGCACCAGCTCTGTGTTCTCAAAAGAACCCAGGGTTCCCCAGATGATCTCACATTATTAACTTCCTTCCCTGAGTCAGTCCACGAACCAATGACAGAATGGATCCCAGCCTACACAGTGCTTTCACACACACACACACACACACACACACACACACACACACAGCTACAGTTTTACAGATAGGTATCCTGTCTCTAAATATTCACCTTCAAACCCATTTCCTGATTCATTTTACCTGATACTTTTACTCTAGAAACAAATAGAGTTTCATGGAAATGAAATATGTGTGTACATATGTACATAAACACATATATTTAATTTTATGTATATTAAGATGGATACATATATTTGTGTGTATGCATGTATCCATCTCTAAATGGGTGTAGGTATATCAGTGTATATCACCCATGTCCACTGCTAAGCAGAAATCCCCGTGTAGTCCATAAGTAGGCAAACTGAGGAGTGTACCCAGCTGCACAGGGCACCACAGACCTGCAGGACAGTGACTTGTGATGTTTTGTAACACAGTCAGATAACTGTGACTGACGGCCATTGAGTGAAGATTTGCAAAGAGCTCGTAGAGGGGAGTTTGCGCCTTCCCCCCAAGGAAATGATAAATGTGGAGGCGGTAGACACGCCTCCTCTGATCATTGCACATGTGTGTTCAAATAACAGCATCATTGCTGTGTCCTTTCAAACAAAAACACATTTCTGGATAAGTAAGTAACTCAGAATACTCTGGTGCCACTGAGTCCACTGCCAACTTCCCTTTACCAGTGCTGTGATTTTGTACTTTAAAGACAGAGTTTATAGAATTCCGTTTAGCCATGCAGGCTCATTCATGTCCTACCCACCCCCCAATCTTAACAAAGCAAAGGCAGGTCAGGGCCCTCACTGTCCAGGCCTCTCAGTCCCTGCACACATGTCTGCATGGACCCAGACCTGGATCCCATCTGACAAAGAAGCAGTTACAATTACATGGGCAAGATGATGAGTACATTTCTTATCAAGCATTGTTGCCTCTTCCTTTGTTTCCCCTTCCCGTCCCTTCCCATCCTCTCCTCCCTCCCCCGCCAAAGTTGTAAAGTTCGTTTTTCGACATAATGTCTTGTTAATCTCATTGTTGCAATGGGCCCACCTGTATCCCTATTTAAACAATTTGTTTTTTTCCCTTCCGCTCCACAAATTATACCAACATCAAATACAGTGGAAGCAGGGGTTATACCGTGGGAGAGGGACATACAAAGCAACAAAGAAATCATCTTAAAAATATGTTAGAAACAATTGCATGAAAGCAAAAACATTTGAATACTTGTCTTGGGGTTCATTTTGCCTAACATCGCCTTATCTGACCTTTTCTGCTTGACTCAGACATATACTAGTTATTGCAAATAAGGGAAACCATGGGACCTATGTTTCTTTGGGCCTGGCTTACTT